CTCATCCTTGAACTTGTCCAGTAGAGACAACACGCACCAGGCCATGGCACATGGGTGATAGGGCTATAATAATTTTCTGATGCTGTGCAATTTGATCCATTTTAATTATCGTGCTTACTAGAAAATAGGTAATTCAAAGTAGTTAGTGTAACTTTTAAAAGTTAAAATATACTCCTATATACTAATAAAAAATTATTTATTTCTGCCTTTATCTAATTCAATAAATATAAAGATTCAAATAAGTTTTTTTTATTACAATTTTTCATATATTTTAAAAATATTTTAAATTATCAATTACTATGATTTATAAAATTTCTTACGTAATTTTCAATTTAAAGATTTCATATAAAAAAAGTAAACTATTCAATGCTCAAAATTCTGACTGTATCCATTAATTGAGACAAAAAAAGTACTCTAATTTTTTATGTTGAATATGTGGCATAAATAAGACAATATTGGAGTCAAAAAATTTAAAATCATCCGTTTTCACAAGATTATTTTTTATAATTTTCTGAGTTAAATTGACCTCAAAGGGCCCATAACTCATAAAGATATTAAAGTAATGACAAATGTTTAGTGTCTTATGGCAAGATCTAAAGTACGTACATAGATTTTCTTGTTTCCTATCCTAGAAACTTGAATTTATTTAGGAACTAGATAATGTTGCCCATGCTATGCACGAGCCCAATAATATAAATGGTATGTTTTGGGGCAAATAACAGAGTTTTTGAAGCGATTGTTTGCATGGATAAAAGAATAAGTTTTTTTTTTATCACAAATCTGTACTTTCTTTGACGCTATTTAAGGCATAATAAGACTACCCACATGCAACATTTTTGAAATATTTTATGTTGTCAATTATCATGATTTATAGTATTTTTACGATAGATTCACTTCAAGAATCAGTGAAATTTTTTGTATTTTTTTTCAAAACATATTTTATGTTGTCAATTATCATGATTTATAGTATTTTTACGCAATTTTTAAATATAAAAAAAATAAGACAAATAAATTAAAATGGACCCAATAAATGTTATTTTTGTTGTCTCAATTTATGTGACACAAATGAAATTTGGAGAGTCATCCAAATTTTCATATTTTTTAAAAAAATGTTTGAAGTTATTAATTACTGCGATTTATAATATTTTTATGTAACTTTGAAATAATGTACATTACTGGTCACTTTGTCCTAATTTATGTGATATGGATAAAATTACAAAATTAACCCTTTTAAAATGTCTTTAAGATATTTTAAGTTGTTAATTATTATTATTATTTATAATACTTTTTGGTAATATTAAAATGCTATGATTTTTTCTGTCTCAATATATGTGAGCCTGATAGAATTCTGAGAGTCAACCTATTTTATTATATAGCTTTTTGTTATAATAGGTTATAATTATACATCACTTATTTCTATCGAAAATTGACACCATACCAATGAAGTACAATAGTTTTAATTTTTTTATATATATATGAACTGTTGAATTTTTTTGACATATTAAATTTATGATAAAGGAGATTCAAAAATTCTTTAAAACATAGTTTAAATTATAACTATGATATTCTTTATTTTTTTGAAAATTCTAGATAAATTTGTGATTCTGCCACCGATTATAATTAGTAAAGTCCATGTCTTAAAGCATTTTGTGGTAGAGAATTGAGTTTAGATGTCATCATGCACACGCACTAATGTTATAATTAATCATGCTAACTTTGGAATATCAGATTTTAATAATTAAAATGAAGAATTCAATACTAGAAAAAGCAAGGTGGAATTGTCGTTGTCATGGGCATCTAGTAGTTCTTGGTTTAAGATAAAATTATTTTTCTATTTAACTTTGTTTTTAAAACTATAAATATTTTAATTATGGAATATATAATTAAATAAATATTCAATAAATAGAAATTATATCTAAAAACATGAATAAATATAAAATAGTCAAAAATGTAATATTTTATTTAAAAACACGTTAAAAAAGAAATACAATTGATAATTTGAGATCGAGAGAATAATGATGATTTGATTTGGTCATTCCATTGGTGCCTGTTGTTTCCCCTGCAAGCGTGAACTGGAGCCAAATATAAATTATTTATTTATTTTTTAGCTTTTCAATAGTCAAATAAAAGATTGCAAAGTCAAACAAACTCGTTATGTTTCATTTTTGCACGAAACTCATTTTTTTTCTTTTAAAAAAAAATATGAAACTCTTTTTATTCTGAAATAATATAAGAATACTTAATTATCACTTTATTTTTTATAAGATTTCAAAACTTTCAAAAATATAAGTACTTTCATTATATTTTTTACACTTTAACTTTAATGTAATATTTGTTCTCTTTTCATCCACAATTTTATTTTATTTTTCTTCATTCTTAAAATAGTAATATGCAAGTCAAACTAACATGCATATTTAATTCTGAAGCTAGTCAAACACTATGCATAAAATAAAATGGTAGAAATATTTATTTAATATTACAAACTGAGAAGGATTTGCAGTAATAGGAATTTTGTATTTTCTAGAAAATACTTTTACTATTGTAGTTTTTTTGTATTATAAATTAATTTAATATATGTACTCTATAAAATCGACAATCAATAATGCTGCAAAAAATATAAATTTGAGGGAGATTTTAAATTTGCAATAAACAAAGTGACAATCTGATAGTGAAAAGATTTCCTTGGTTTACGACAAAATTATGATTGTTTGTAATTACGTGCACACTTATTGATTATGTAAATTCATTTGACAAAATTGAAAATGATATATAAATAAAGGATTTTTTTTTTTTGAAATAACGATCATTTGAGACCTAATTATCTAACATAGTGATAGTATAGATAATTTGAAATTCGTTCATTATTAGTGTTACAGTTGTTTTTAAAATTCGTTACATATCACTGATATAATAATAAATACAAAATGAATTATTACATTGTTGATATAAAAGGAATTTTAAAAGATGTTATATTATTAATACAAAACAAATTTTAGAAACTAATATATTACTACTAATATAAGGAGAAAGTCAAAAACTATTGGTATGTTTGATAAATATAAAATATAAATTTGTATTATAATTCATCCAAAAAGAAATAACCAATGTATATTTATATTGCCAACGAAATAATATTTTTGATTGAACGATCAAATATAAATCTGTCGCAATCAATTTCCACATCGAGCCACCTCAACCTTTTTATCCAAAAGACACAAGTGGGCAGTGGTATATAGGACCACTTTTTATCTCTCTTTTTATTTTGACAACTTCTTAGGGTTGTGATAAGGTAATAATTTTTTTTTATATTTGATAGAGAGCCTTATATTTTCACATGAGACTTTTAATTTGCTCAAAATATGTATTGAACAGTGACACAATAAAAAAAAATGAAATCTGAATACAAGATCTTGTTAGATATATGTAAATTAGAATATACCTAAATAAAATACAAAATATGTGTTTACTTCTTTAATAAAATAGAAATTTATTTACTATTAGTATGACTTATGAGAGTTAGTTTTGTTATTCCGTGGTTTTAATTCAATGTACTATGATTAGTCTAAAAGACTCATATTAATACTCTACAGAATTTTATTTAACTTATCAACATTATCTTTAGTTTTCTGTGTATCTCAAATTAGAATTAAAATATTATATTTATTTCAATTAAATAATAATAATAATATTAATAAACTAATATAATTTGATATAAACATGAGTCACTATATTAAAAATGATCTTTACTGGCAATAGATCAATTGCCGCTAAATATGTCCTTTTAGTGGTAATTAGCACTTTTTGTATATGTTTCTAAGGCCTTTAGCGACATTGAATCTAATAACACTTAACTAATGTCGCCGTCGGTAAAGACTTTAGCATTCTTTATTAATGTGTCTATTTATTGCCGTTAAAAGTTATTTTTGTTATAGTGAGTGCTGATAAATTTTCTAAAGGCACTGTGCACATACTTCTTTCTTCTTCTTTTTTTTAAGCAATATTCAATATTTATATTGAAGTTCTAAATTTGATTTCACGTTTAATAAAATTTATATTAAAAATAAAACAGCTCTTAACACTGATAACTTTATATCTAAAGAAATTTAAATCCGAAAACAAAGTGCCATCAAAGGGCAAAATTATAACTTTAAGGCATATATATCCACTTGATTGTTTCCGCGTAGAGCACCTCAACATTGACTACCCAACTTGTGTATAATTAATTACATCTAGTCAAAATCAAATATCTTAATGATTCTGATAAACAACATATATAACTAATATAATTATCCTTCCCCATCCATCTATAAATACCAATCTCAAGAAGCAAATGTATCATATAACAAACAAGCTAAAACAACAAACTAAACATGTCTCCTTCATGGCCTACTACACTTCTTGCCTCTCTCTTTCTTTTCTCCCAAATATTTTCTTGCATTGCTCAAGTTCCACCTGAAAGCACCTTTAAATTCGTCAATGAAGGCGAATTAGGACCTTATGTTGTAGAATACAGAGCAGACTATCGCGTTATTAGTATTTTCAATAACCCATTTCAGCTCTGTTTCTACAACACAACTCCTAATGCATGGACATTAGCATTGCGAATGGGCACTGTCCGTTCTGAATCACTCATGCGTTGGGTGTGGGAAGCAAATAGGGGAAACCCTGTTAAAGAAAATGCGACATTCACGTTTGGAACTAACGGAAATCTCGTATTGGCGGATGCTGACGGTCGAATCGCTTGGCAGACCAACACGGCCAATAAGGGGGTCACCGGGTTCAAGTTGTTACCTAACGGTAACATGGTGCTACATGACTCCAAGGGTAAATTTGTCTGGCAGAGTTTCAACTATCCCACTGACACATTACTAGTGGGCCAAACTCTCCGATTGTCCGGCCCGAATAAGCTTGTGAGTCGGGCCTCGGTGAAAAAGAATGCGAACGGGCCTTATAGGTTGGTGGTCCAGCCGAGATTGTTCGCTGTCTACAAAGGAAACAAGGTAGACGTGGAATTAGCTTGGTTCGATTATGGGAATAACACGTTGGAATCGATAAAATTGAATAGTGGGAATCAAAGATTGAAATTGGATTATAGATTTGCAAAATCAACACAGAGAAGTTCACATGTGATGGCATTTACTAAATACAACACAACATTGACATATCTTAGACTTGAAATTGATGGAAATCTAAAGGCCTACACTTTTGTTAGAGATGAAGAAGCAGATGAATTCCGTTGGAAAGTAACTTACAGTAGGATTTAAAATGTTTCATATTTAAAACGTCTAAATCTGTGTACACATTTGAGCAAATTTCACGGGTTATATTATTATTGTTGTTATATTGTTATAAAACGTAGCTCTATAAGATAATGATTAGTGTGTCCAGTACAATAAGTGGGTCCACAGCTAGTAGTCCAATAAATGAGTAGTAGTTCCTATTTAATGTTTTGTTAATTATATTTTTCTTTTTCCCCTTTTGAAAAAAATATTATGTTTTGGTTGAATTAAGAGTGTGTTTATTATTTTGATATATAATGATTGAAGGTGGTGCCTCATTATGTTTTGTTGTTATATTTATGAAAGAAGCTTTTAACAAGTGAGATCTCGATTGCCTTTGTTGAATTATTTAATCATGATAAATTGTATTAACTTCACTTAAACAGAATTAGTTATATATTTTCTTAAATCATATTTATAAAATGATCCTTTGGGTCTTATTAATTATTATTTTTTAAAAAAAAAATTGACATAAACATTCTGTAAAAATAGTATTTGTGCCTTCTTGGCTAATATTGAAACATCAACATATTATACTTAAGTTCCTTTACAATAATTTCTATATTCAAATTTTAGTATAAGCTATTTGCAAATAAAACAAAATAAAAACTGAAGTCCATATAAAATGAATAATAAGGATCATTTGAAAAATCAATCGTTTGAAGTTGAAATTTTTAGGTGACGCAATTTAGATATCTTACTTTGTATATTTTCTTATAAATCTGAAAGTTTAGTAATTTATGAAAATCATTAAAACTTTTTAAATTTTTTATAGAATCTTATCAAATGAGTAATTATATTTCGTTTATTATTTTTATTTGTTCATGTTTGACTTTACACATCTCATAAAAAATAGTAGTACTATAAAATGATACATTTGTTATATCACTTTTTTTGAAAATAATAAATTCAATATTTTGAAAAATAACTATAATTAATAATAGAGAAAATTAAAAACCAGGTGGTAATTATTTATGATTTTTTTAAAGTAAGCAAAGAAAAATGAACAGAGGAAATAATTCACAAACAAAGTATCTAAATATCTTAAAGACTTCAAATTAATAATTCACACATTTCCTATTTTTGAATAATTTAATTATAAAATCATAATTTAAAATTGAATTTTATGCAACTTTATAAATAAACATTGTAAATCTCAAAAATCAAATTTCAAATTCTATTATCAGGCGCCTACTAATAGTATTTAGAGCTCATTTCGATAGGCTAGAAAAAAGAGAGTAAATTTTAAGTTAAAAAAAAAGGATCAAATTTAAATGATTTTTATGTCAAAAGAAAATCACTAAAGTCTTATTTTTAGTTTTTAACTTTTTCACAGTCATTTAAAACTTATTTTTAACTTTGTGAAACACTTGCAAAAATTAAAAACAACTTAAAAGTAAATTTGACTAACTTTTAAACAAATTTAAACAGACTCCGATTTCGACCTTACTTACACTTTGCACCGACCCAATACTTGTTGGAAAATATATACATGGGGTAATTATAATATCAAAATAATAATACAAGAATTAAGATAAATGCTACTACAATAATATTCTTAAGTAACATATGTATATATATAAATATAATATTTGAATTGTGCTAGGCAGTATCCTGAGAAACTATTTCAGCAATGTAAAATATTTTCCAGGATTAATCAAGTTTTCTCTAATTAATTAGAGAATACATAAATCAACAAAATATAAATGATACAAAAAAAAAGCAAGTTTAAAAAGTAACTAATACTCCTTCACTTCGTTGTCTACCTATAAGACTAAATCAACTAATATATATATATATATATATATATATATATATATATAGAAGCAAGGCGGTGGAGAATACTATTAATTAACTTGGGGAGAAAGGGAATATCAACTAGGTGAGCAGGTTGATTACGCAAGTGTTGATGTAGTTAGTAATTTTTGGCATCCAAACTATTTAATATGACATAGTAGTTGATGTTAATAATGGGTTTAAAGTTATTTTAAAATATCCAACAATACTTGTCGTTCAAAATTTTTATCGTTATTCTAGATTAATGAAAATATCTTTTCTTTTAAATTGTATGCTTCTAGTCTCTAGTTACTTCTACTTTTGGATATATAATAACATAAAATAAAATCAGATCCACTCATGTACATCATTTAAAAATTTTCTTGCTATAATTGTACAAAGCAGATATATAATAAAATAAAATAAAATCAGATCCACTCATGTACATCATTTTAAAATGTTCTTCTATAATTGTACAACTACTTGCGTACTCGAACAGAGAACCTTAGACAATTTTGCGTTTTGTTCGTCACTCATGACGACATCGTTTTTGTAGTTCACATGAACATGCTAGGTGTTTTTAAGTGCCTTAACTATAGTAATACTTATTTTTTACTCAGAAAAAAAAAATGGAAAAAATTGAAATGATTGTAACAATATGTTGTTGTATCATAGCAATTACTTTGTTTGTGTGTCTATGGAAAGTACTGAATTGGGTTTGGTTTAATCCAAAGAAGTTGGAGAAATTGTTGAGGAAACAAGGGCTAAATGGGAATTCATACAGATTATTGTATGGGGACATGAAAGATCTTAGTGGGATGATTAAGGAAGCTAATTCAAAGCCTATGAATATGTTTGATCATGATTTAGCACCAAGAATGGTGCCTTTCTTTCTTGAAACCATCAAGAAATATGGTAAGTTTTCACTCAATTTTTTTTTTTCATTTGTACGGTTGAATCAGAAATTTAAATTTATTAGTTTTGAACACATATATCCATAATCCTTTTTTAGTTATTGAGTAACTCATAAAGTTGATGTCATGTAATTAGGAAATCACGAGTTGGTTCAAGTCGTAGAACCAACAACCTTATGTAGACATGTAGGATAAAAGGTGTTTACAATAGACCATTGTAAACACTTTCCGTAGAAATGTATGCTTACAATAAACTCTTGTAGTCAGTCCGTTTCTTTCCACACCTGTGCATAGCCGGAGCTTTAGTGGATTGGGCTACCTTATTCTAACTACTAATTAGTGATATAAGTAGTAGATTAAATTCATGAATTTGATATCCATTCACAAATCCCTCATTCATTTCCACAGACGGAGTTAGGATTTGAAGTTTAAGCTTTTTGAACTTGAAGTTGTACCCATAGTTTTCTTTAGTTACTATTTACTGAACTTCCTAATACAAATAAGCAGTTTATCTAGAAGCTCCTTGGAGTATGTAGTTTGTTTCAACTTTTTTCGAATTCAATGAAATTGTAATGAGCCTGTTCTCCTGGTTTGTTTATCTTCTAAAGATCACTCTGTTCATTTCGTTCTCCTCGATTGTATAGATGTTTTGTTTTGAAATTTGTACTAGTTGTAGTTAATCATGAGACATATACATGTTTGCAGGCAAAAAAAGTTTTATATGGATGGGTCCAAGACCACAAATACTAATCATGGATCCTGAGCTTATAAAGGAAGTACTCTCGAAAAACTATGTGTATCAAAAGCCTCATGGAAATCCATTAGGCACCTTATTTGTACAAGGATTAGTAAGCTATGAGAAAGACAAATGGGCTAAACATAGAAAAATCATCAATCCCGCGTTCCATCTAGAGAAGTTAAAGGTTTGTCATTCAACTTCGTGTTGGTCAACCAGAAACTATTATGTTGTGCAATTCTTACTCTATGTGTGCTATTGCTTCTATCTTCTTTGATTTGCCTTCCTTATCGTTCAATCTAAACTTTTATGTCATATGACTATTACAAGTAATATGCTATCTGCTACCTGACTTGATGTAGGCAATAGTGGTTCTATAGGGACGAATCTCACCTGGATCATGATTCAATGTTCTAGATTGTTCTTCCACCAATCGATAATATGTTCACTCTTACTTCTTTATGTTTTCAATTTGGTGTTGTATGTTCGACATATGACTATATTGAGTGATTTCTGCTACCTTAGCTTGAGTTTGACAATCAGAGAGTGAATTTTATGGTTCAAAGAAGTTGAATCTTGTCTGGATCATCATTTATCAGGACTCTCTTTGCGTAAGTTCCTTGGCTTGGACAGAGTACGTATTTAGTCCATGTTGTATTCCTACATCCAGAGAGGACTATGTTCAGTGGAGTAATTTCTTATATATATTTACTAGATGGTGATTGAATATGTGTTCCTAATTATGTTCAAGTGTTAGTGTTATTGACATTTTCCCTGGTTCACCATTTTCTCGAACAGCATATGCTTCCAGCTTTTTACTTGAGCTGTAGTGAGATGCTGAGCAAATGGGAAGACGCTGTTCAAGTTGAAGGCTCTCATGAGATAGATGTATGGCCGCACCTGCAGCAATTGACTTGTGATGTGATCTCTCGGACAGCTTTTGGCAGTAGTTATGAAGAAGGTAGAAAGATTTTTGAACTTCAACAGGAACAAGCTCAGCATTTTCTCGAAGTTATACACTCAGTTTATATCCCAGGATGGAGGTAACTTAATTCTCCTAAGAATTTGGTAAATGTAGCTATTGGAAATGCAAATTGATTAGTTCTAATTTTTGTGAATGCATTTTGGTTTTGTGTTTCATAAAACAATTTCAAAGATTTTTGCCAACAAAGAGGAACAGAAGAATGAAGGAAATAAAAAAGGATGTTCGGTCCTCAATTAGAGGTATTATCGATAAAAGATTGAAGGCAATGGAAGCTGGGAATGCCGATAATGAGGATCTATTGGGCATATTGCTGGAATCAAATTTTAAAGAAATTGAACTGCACGGAAATAAGGACTTTGGAATGAGCATTGAAGAAGTCATTGAAGAATGCAAGCTATTCTATTTTGCTGGCGCAGAAACTACATCAGTGTGGATTCTGTGGACTCTGGTGTTGTTGAGCAGATATCCAGATTGGCAGGAACGGGCCAGAGAAGAAGTCTTGCAAGTGTTTGGGAGTCGGAAACCAGATTTTGATGGATTAAATCATCTAAAAGTTGTAAGTATTCTTGTTGTTTGGTTCAATTTCTATGCCATGGGTACTCTCGTTGTTATTTCTACAAGCACGTGTGAATTTCTTTTGATTATCTCGTTCATGCTTGCTTAACTGATAGAGGAGCATTTCTGTTACAGGTAACAATGATCTTGTACGAGTCGTTAAGGCTATATTCCCCGATAACAGTACTGACCCGACGAATTTTTGAAGACATTACGCTAGGAGAAGTATCTCTACCAGCTGGTGTGCTAGTCTCATTGCCAATTATCTTATTGCATCATGATAAAGATATATGGGGTGCAGATGCAAACAAGTTCAATCCAGAGAGATTTAGAGAAGGAATATCAAGTGCAACAAAG